TTGATCTAAACATACATTTATCTCTTTTCCATAAAACTCCAACCAGTGCTGATGTTGGTTTTTTAACGTTGTCGACGTGTTACGTATAGACTAGAACTGACAGTACTGAAAAACATTTTAAAACATACTGAATTTCAAAAAAACGTACTGAATAACCAACTTTTAAAAAAAAGCTCTATTTTATGAAAATGTACCAATACCTAAATCGAACACCTTAAAAATGGCTGGAGATTTAAATTCATTAACTATTACTTTTATAGAAAAATTTTAAACATTTACAAAAAATATACCCTACAGGAACAAATGGGGCAAAAGGCACAAGTGAAATAAAAATGATTTTCTCGTGGTTTAACACTTTTATTAAATTATATAATCTTTATGTATAACAGAAAAAACGTCTTAATCCATTTTACTTTCAGAATTACAATCAACAAACGTGCAATACATTTTAATTTCAAATAAATTATTTGACTCATCACATGACTTAACTGTCAACTGTCACCCATCGTTAGTAAAATACGTTACTTTATTCAAAAAATGTCAAAATAGTACTGAAAATGGTTCTGAATTGACTATTTGTTGATAAAATACGTCACTTTATTCGAAATATGTCCAAATAGTACTGAAAATGATACTGAATCCACTATTTTTAACAAAAACGTACTAAAACTAACAAGGTAATACTGACGTACTGAAAAAGTTGAAAACTTACTGAATTCAGTACAAACGTACTGAATCTGGCAGCCCTGCCAACGACCTGTCCAAATGGCTACCAGTGGGATTTGACAGTTTAGATATGGGAACCCTATGGACATGTTGTCATTGACAGGGTCAATGATACATATGTAGCTATATAGATTGCTCAAAGCGGATCTGCGAGCGGCCATATTGCCTGGAAAATGTTTATTAATTTAAATCGGTTTAGCAAAAATGTGTTTTAAAACCATTTTCAGCCTTTGAGTATTTAAAAAAAAATAAATATCTACATTTTCACATCAAGCTATAAGCTTATGTTTACTTATACCATATATACCATATAGAAAGATAATCAAGGGTAATATACCAAGACCTTGATAATAGTCAGCTATTTTTATTGAATCTAAATCTCAAGAATATTTTATCAATTTGCTGAGACATAATTTTTGGCATTAATAATTTGATTAGAGCCCGAAAGCTTTAGCTCGAGGGCTTTAATTACTTGATTATTAATGCCAAAATTATGTAGAATCAATTTGTAAAATATTTAAGAAATTTAGTAACAACAAAAATAGCAGAATATTAATCAAGATCGTGTTATATTTGGGACGACTATTTCACTAGACCAAATATTGACTATTTCTCTAAAGAAATAGTTGCTGATATTTGGTCTAGGGAGATAGTCAAGTTTATTATATAAATTATACATGGTATATTGTATATTTCTTCCAATACAAGTTGGATTGGATTTCTATATTTTGTACATAACTTTATTATAATATTACAAAAGAAAATAAAAAATATAATCTTATTTGTAATACAGTTATGCACAAAAGTTGCCATATTTTCAAAAAATTAGTCAGATTTTCAAAAAATGTTCCCCTTCACTTGTGTTTTTTTTTCCTATTTAATTAATTTTGGCGATTTTTCTACTTGTAAAGTTAAGACTTTTATATATCACCTTTTGGCAACACTTACTATGTGTATTTTGTCACAAAATTGTCATCTTTTTTGTTGCACTTTTAATGAAAAATAATCATTATTAACAACAACAAAAGGAATACATCGTCTATTTTAAGGACTATGTTTTGTAACAATACACCATTAGTTAATCCACTAGACGCAGTAAATAATTTTGTGACTTTTTTCTTGCATTGAAAATTCGGAAACACATCTCAAAAATATATTAAAATGTTTCTAAAAATATTTTTCTTTTAATTCTTTTTATATTTGCTTTATTACTGTTTTCGTCAATTTTGAATGAACTGCGTCTATCCCCGGGACGCTACTGAATAAACTTGTAAAAGTGAACCATACCATACCGAATTTAAACTATTTTCATGGATTTTCTGAATAGACGACTTTCAATAAGTAACTGTCTTTGAATATTTTGTTCACAGGTTTTTAGAAAACAGAATTTAGGTAGTCAACAATTCCATTCATGTTTCAAGTATTTTTAGGTATACATTATAGAAGTCGGAAAGTTAAGAGAATCTACGGTTCATTGTTGAAGAACGTAACCAAAGAGGTTTTTTCATTGATTATGTAAATGTAGTAAAACTATTTTTTTACAGATGATAATATAATAAATAATGAGAAAATCATTTTTAAGGCATGCAGAATCAGATTTTCAATATCAACTACAGAAAATGTATAATAAATATTTCAATATAATCGTAATAGACAAAGTGTTCCACTTTAAAACGAACATACAGAAATCATAGTTCATATTGAAGGTGAATGTAAGTTGAGTACGTACCAATTCCCAAAGAACATACATTTAAAGCGAATTTCATCGGGAGTTCAGAAAATGACAAATATTTTCTGAGTAAATAATTTACCAACAGTAAAAATTATTCAATAAAATTTAATCTAATTGTCTACATAACTTATTAAACATTAGTGACATGGCATAAAGCCAATAAATAATATCGTAATGATACATTTATTTTTTTTTTGTTTTTTTTTTTGGTGTGTCATCGGCTTCAACTGCTAAGGTTATTTCGCCTCGTGTTCTGTGTAGGCTTTGTTACTGTTTCCTAGCGCCACTTTAGGAACAGCACTGTTAATTAGAACCCAACAGTGAATGGTCGAGTGGGGAATCCTACCAAGGCATCAGAATTAATTTTAAATAATTAAATTAAATGAAAAAATCCCGGCCAACGGTGGGATTCGAACCTGAGACCTTCCGATCTCAAAGTCATGACTCTAACCACTGAGCCAACCCACCCCCTGATACATTTATTAATTCAGAATTTGGAAATGTTAAAAACTGTTTTCAAACCTTTTGGTTTAGGATATCCAAAGGAAAACGCACAGTAGTGTGGCAACGCTTCGTTTTTTATTGCGCTGTTGGCGAAGAATCGGAAGAAAAATAATAATAATAAGAAGAAAAATCGTATTGATTTCATGATTTTAATGACCTGAATAGTGAAAAAAAAAACAATTGAAATCCAAAAGGTTTTCAAATTAGTCAACATTTATGCCGATGCACTACAAATCTGTACAAGGTGAGTCCAAACTCAAATACATCATTTTCTAAGTTTTTTTATTTGACCACCTATATTTTATATCACCATACAAAATACTCTAATTTTAACTGGTCACTAGTTAATAGGACATAAACTATTTGCCAATTATTGGTAATTAAGATTTAACCAGCTATAAGTTTTTGGCCATACAATACCTAATGCGACTTTTACATTCAATAAAAAACAATAAACAAAAATAGCAACCGAAAACTTCACATATTTTAAGTTGATTAATTGTTACTGTAACAGATTTTCTTTAATTAGGAAAATTTATCTAAGTAGCTTTGTGGAGATCTTAATGTGGTTTTCAAATGTCCAAATCACATTTCTAATCATTAAAAAAAACACTCGAAATAATTATCTTATTCAGACTAAAGGTCACATTAAAAACTGGCTAGACTAAAAGACGTTAGTAATAACGAACTATAGGTACTGAGGTTTCAAAGTCAACCTAAAAAAATAATAAACTTAGAATAAAGTTTTTAACTTGTCAAAAACTGTTTTAGCCGATAATAAATTAGAGCTAGTTAAATTCTAATCACTAATTAACAGTCTATTTCCTGTTAACCAGTGGCCAGTTAAAATTAAACTATTTTTTGTCATTTAAATTTAAAAATCACCCAAAATTATTAACTTTAGGTAGTATATAGGGAATTATTAGCTCTAATGAAACTTTAATTAAGATACTTAAAAAAATGATAAGAAAATGATGTACTTGAGTTTTGACTCATCCTGTTCAAATTTGTTTGTAATTGAAAAAAGTGGTGCCTCTACATAAATTTTTACTCTTATCAAAAACCTTTTATCGCAAAAAACTACAGGTCATTGAAATCAATACGATTTTCTTATAAAACTTGTTGTAACGTGTGAAATACCCTGTATAATTTCATACTATGCGCTAGTTTAGTGTGATGTCATTTTGGTTCCACTGACATTTAATTCTAACCAAACTTTTAACAAAAACATCAATAAATTTTTTCTGTTTTTATTTTATTTCAAAATATTGTTTACAGGTCATTAAAAATAGTTTAAAGGTATGTAATTGGTAACTAAATGATTGTATATTTGATACATGCTATCTACTTACTTTAGGAATATATTTATAAAAGTGAAAAAAAAACGATATAATTTAGGTAAAAAAAAACGAACAGAACGCACTCAAAAAATCTACTGTCACTTTAATTGTCAGTGGAACCATAATTACATCATCACTGAACTAGCGCATTGTTATAATGGAAATGGAATTTAATTTAGTTCAAAATTTAGTACTTAATTTAGTTTCGTGACAAACAGCCTTAAATCTGTTTGAACAAATAATCCATGATGATCTGAAACGCTTGACAACAATGTGCTTAAATTGACAGTTCATAAACTTAATGCCAATTTTTAGTATGAAATTCACTAAAATTATTCTGTTAAAAATCTACCTACGATACATTTACTACTGTCATATGCTAAAAAATAAAATTTGAATACGTAATCTTTAAAAATGAAAATCTATGCGTACGAATTTATTTGTTCAATTGTCAAACAATATTCCATTAATTTAAATGGTGTGTGAACCAAATGATGACGTAGCTGTGTTCTTCTTATTGTAATTGGAGCCTACTAATTCCTATAATCGATGGCGTGCATTAAGATTTTATATGGAATACCGTATGACTTGTATCGTAGTATTATTATGGTTTTCGTTTGTGATGGATAAAATAATATGGCTCGATAGATTTTTACTATTTGTTTGACATCGATAATTTAACACGTTCTTCCTTTCAGAGATGCAAAGAGAAGCTCAATACCCTAGCGATCTCCGTGATGAACATGTGGCCCGGCGTGAAGCTCTTCGTGACCGAAGGGTGGGACGAAGAAAGATACCACACTCCGGACTCATTGCACTACGAGGGCCGGGCTGTGGACATTACGACCTCCGACAGGGACCGTTCCAAGTACGGAATGTTAGCCAGACTCGCCGTCGAAGCAGGCTTCGACTGGGTGTATTACGAAAGTCGGTCCCATATACACTGCTCCGTCAAATTAGGTAACTTTTTTTTCAATATACACTCAATTTTACTATTTAATAAATAACACTGCGTTTACGCAGGAAAGTATTATCACTGTCACAGACGTGACACTGGTACTGTCATGATAATACTTTATATTTCGAGAAACATATTGAGTTCCGTTGAACAGTAAAAATTTGGGCCCAATACCTGTTAATTCGAAAGCTTTATTAACGTAGGAGCGTCGCGTGTTGCGGTGGCGATAGCGTTGCGTCGAGCGACGCGTCGTCGTTTAAACAAGCTAGTGTTATCAAACGTAAACGTTCAAAGTAAGAGCGATCAGCGATCCGAAGCATCGCGTTACCAGTCGCGACGCGCGCCGCTTCTACTCTGAACTCTGAATAAGGCTGAAGGATTCTTAATCATTAGGAAAATGGGCCCAGACATATAAGCAGGCAGGAGAATTGGACGGGTAAAAATAAAAAGAAACCTCTAGGTACTAATTTAACTTAAAAAAAGGGATCCATCTTCTCGGATGTGGTCAATGTAGTAAACTACTTTTAAATTTCGATATAAAGCAAAATATTAATTAAAATGTTAATAGGAATTAAAAAAATATGCCCAAGTTTTAGTCGTTTCCCTTATTTTTAAGTTTCACTTAAATATTAAATTTTATGTGGTATGTCATTTTGTCCATTATTTTGTTAATTACGATCTACAGCTATCGTGAGTGGCTTGCAAAAAAATGTACATACAATGAGAAAAATTAAAAACCAAATGTATCTAACATGTGCGGCATAGAGCTATTGCAGGTGCCTTCTCAAAATAATTGTACATAAAATGAGTTGGGCCCAGTTTAGTATATACCCTAGCGGCAGTATCTACCAAAGTATCTACCAAAATACTGCCTGCTCTATAGTCTATTTTTATGTATGAGAGAGTATTAAAATAATAAAACGTTCGTAATCCATAGGCGTACCACTTCTTTTAGTAGACAGTTAAAATATTTTTTGAAGTTATTCCTTGAGTATACACTTATATTTTCATCTAATTAACCTGCTTATAACTTCTAAACAGCTGAAGGTAAAAAAGTGCAATTTTTTCTAAAATGTTTTATTTTTCCACAAGGTTTGTTAAGAACATTGTGTCAAACGGGTTATGTAGGTAAAAGGGTTTAAACTTTGACTTTTAAACAACGTTACGTTCATAAATAATAATTTTATTATAAAAACTACTTCTTACCTACAAATCCAAATCAGAATCGAAATCAGAAGATGAACTGTCGCAACCAATATTTACAATGAGTGGCTCGATCATTTCATCAGTAATATTGTCCAACTTCCACATTTTCTCTTCTTCTTTAATCGTATGATTTACTGCCTTTTCCCAGTTTTCAGGCTTCACATTATTTATAGCCTCCAAAAACAACTGTTTAACATCACTCATTTTAAAAGAATTATTTTTTCTTGAAACTTCTCCCTTTATCTGTGCCCATGTCAGTTCAATCGGGTTTACTTCGCAATGATATGGTGGTGACCTAACCACCGTCATCCCACGATTTTTTGCAATTTCATCAATTTTATATTTTTTGAATTTCTCTTTATAAAGGGAACACAAATGATACAGTTCTTTTCTCACAGAACCGGGATGGAACTTAATATTCTTTGAATTTAGCCAATTCTGTAAATCTTTATTTAACCACTTGGTTGTGGGCATTTTTTCTATTAGTCTCGAGTGATAACTTGCATTATCCATTACTATTTTACAGTTCTGAGGAAGAAGATCTATAATTTGTTCGAACCACTCTTTAAAGACATCAGCATTCATGTCCTCATGGTAGTCACCGGTACGAGTAGATTTAAAAGTCAATAAACCACCTTTAACAAAACCGTTTTAACTACTGATGTATACTATTATTAGTCTGCGCCCCTTTCCTGATGGTGGATTTAAACCAGTAGATAAATTATTTAAAAAAGCCTGTCTTCGACTTGTAACAGTTTCATCTTGCCAAAATTTATTTGGTTTATGTCCCTCGTTGATCCATGTTTCATCTAAATAAAATATATTTCTTCTTTGGTTTCTCATTTCTTTTATAGTCCTTAGGTAATTTCTTCTCCATACTACAATATCGCTTCTTTCTTTTAAAATAGACTTTCTGGAATGCTTTTTCCATAGAAAACCTATTTCTTTTAAAAGTTTCCATAGTGTGCTTCGACTCATTTCAGGGTAATCCCTATCATCTCGAACCGTGGCAAGAACTTTGTCTACTGTCGGAAATTCTTTTCTAAAGAAGAACGCATGCACTTTCCTTCGAAGTCTTTCTTTCAAAAGATTTTCTAATTAAAATTTTGGTTTTCCTGGAGCTTCACGTGCTGTTTGAAACTCGCCACATTTCTCTTCTTTAACAACTGTGTAAATCGTAGATTTCCCAATACCAAGCGTACTACTAACTAATTCCACTGTGTCATCAACACTTTTACATAAATGTTTGTCTGTAAATGATTTAAAACAATTAAATATTAATGTTTTTTCATTAACTGTTAAAGGACCGATTTTTTTTTGTCGTTTACGCGGCCCTTCCAAATTTTCCATGATCACACTAGAATTCACACTGCACCTTGCAAGTTGCAACTAAACGACATTTAGTAAACTGTCAAGAATACACAACTTGGACCTCCTTACTAAATGGAAAACCTATAATCGCATTTTCGGTGAAATTTGTTGGGAAGGTATTTATCTACTTATAATTCGATTACTGTAAGAAATTCTTGGAATTAAAATAAAACAAAATTGGCAAATAGGTACTTATTGAAAATAATCTTAAGATACGGCTATGTAATCTTTAATACACAGGGCTTTTGGCCTGTCCAAACCTTTTTCTATTGTTCTGTACAGCTTATGTTTATAAAGGACCAATAAAATACCCAAAACTTGTAATAGCTCAGGTACATTTATTACAATTTTAGGAAATATTTAGATTATTCTGTAAAAATATTTAAAATGACCGTACTAAGATTTGCATTAGAAATGCTGTTTTATTACTCTCTCATACATAAAAATAGACTATAGATGTAAGCAATCTCATTGTATATCTAGACCTCTCGAAAGCATTTGACAGGGTCACCCACCGTTTACTTTTAGATACCTCAGAAGAAGTAGGTATAAGAGACACACTATTCAAATTATTTAAAAGCTATCATACAAACCAACAACAAATTACAACAGTAGATGGTGTCTATAGTGATTTAGACCCAATAACTTTCGGTATGTGGCAGCGGCCTGTCTTAGTGGGTTTACTTATTGCGTATCGATACCCGCAGTCAAGCCAGGCGGAGCGCAGTTAGTACTTGGATGAGTGACCATTTAAATAAAAGTCGCCGTACGTCCGAACAAACTGCTCGCTTAGTTGCATACCACAGCGGGCAGGCGTTATATAAATGAGTACGAGGTATAGCGTGAGGTGTACCATATTTTCGGAAGCGATATAAAGCCGTTGGTCCCGAGTCCATGGATGTTGGACTCGTTAAATGTCCCTACCTCTGGTTGGAACACCAGGGGATTAGGCTATATTTCTCACCAGTGTCGGTGTTTAACCGGCGTTGTTAGAAATTGGCCGACGTTGAATAAATTAGTAAAATAAAACTTTCGGTATCCTACAAGGTACGGTACTCGCTCCAATTATATTTAATTTTTATCAATGAGCTATTTTTCATCGAGAGTTCCAGAAAAGTTTCTGGATTTGCAGACTATACTGCAACTTTTTATAAAGTTAATTCATGATTAGATAAAGCAAACAATTAAACAGAACGTCTTAAATCTGAAAAGATGATTTGATAATAAATTACATACTTTAAATGTAGGTAAAACATGTAACATACTTACTATTCGCAATAATATTTTTAGAATACCTCCATTTAATAAATTGACTTTTGCTTCGGGGCAAACACTTGCCATTCTCCCTGAAAACAGGATAAAATATCTAGGGGTTGATATGGATACATAATATCTTAAAAGAAAAGAAAACATAACATTTGTATGTCAAAAATTAGGAATGATAATATACAGTGTGGAATCCACTTATGGAATACAATTATTTTTGGCCTTATTTTAAAAAATTATAAAAAAACGCTGGGACATGTCAACTTTTAAACTAAATTGTACGTTCTGCGAATGAAAATATACACCCCACAAAAATTATCGCATCACTAAAATGTTTGCAATGTATGTTTATAAAAACAGGCAGTGCTAAAAAACTGTATTTCTTCTCTAATAACAGAGAGAATAAAACAATCAAAAAAATAAAATTTTGCGAAAAATGAGGCTAAAGTAGACTATTAATTATAACATGCTATTATTGCTGGTACACTCCACAGGGTGTTACGAATTTTCCAACCAAAAACCTATATTATTGTAACATCCGGTATACACTCTAAAATTAAATTTTATTTAAAGAATCAAAGAGATTACTATTCCTGAAGAGTCAACTTATCTTCCAAAAAAAGAATATCCAAATCAATCAAACAGTTCAAAAAAAAAACTCCAAATTTTTGAAAACTATTAGTGATGCGATAATTTTTGTGTGGTGTGTATATATAAAGTAATTCATTTAAGTCTAGCACTTTCGGTATTCTTTTTTCAATGGAACAACCTGTGTCATTTTATATTTATAATATTTATGGTCTATAATATGAATAAGACAGGGTGAAATTTTAAAAATATTATTGCACTTTAAATATTGTTAAGTAGTCGAGCACATATTAACGTATTTGGATGAAGTTTAGAAATAAATAAAACCTGATACGTACATGGATCATGGTTTTGGAAACATTTTTTGTCCAGAAGAAGTAAAAACTACCTAGATAACGATAACAATTAAACAAAATCGGTATATTTCTTATTTGTTACTTGTAAAATTGTTGATGTGTCGACATTTTACATAAAAAAATTAAATTCCCAATTGAAAAGTTATTTCGCTTGATTAATAATGAAATATTTAATTGAAACTCATCGAATTGAAATATTAATCATGATCGGTTAT